CAATGATGTATCTACATAGATAATTACTCCAGTTAGAAATAATACTAAACAAATTCTCAGTGATAATAATTATATCAGTATCTCCAAGTTTGGTAATTAATTACATTTTCACTGAACTTTACGAACAGACACAAACCAAAACATGATACCATTTTCATAAACGGATACCAATGGAATTCAGAAATGTAAATAACATACATAACAAACATTTTTTTACACAGATATTTCTTAGAGTATACCGCTTGAATGCTTAAAATTATGTCTTTAAAGTAGGATGTGCATTTTAATGTCCCACAAAATTACTCCAGGCTACAAACTGTCACAGAAAAGCATGTCTATTTGTTGGTTTTTTCCATCTGTGCCCACTTCACAGATTAAATTGATGTTCATCACCAGTTAACAACATTTAAATTGAGACAATTTCAGAGCTTTTAAATATAATTTAACATGTAAAATTGCTGTAGAATTGTTGCTGTTATGCCATAAGTGTCACGATTAGTGTTACAGGTATTACACCAGTTCTGTTACCCATCAGATTCTGTGAAAGGCGCAGCAATGCAGCTATGCCAGCCCCACAACATTTTTAGATTGCAACAGATGTTACCAAAAGCAGTACCACCATCACATAAGGTCACAAATTTTTATAGGAAAAAAAAGGTTGGTCTTATTTCGAACATTTGTTTTCCATAATCTATCCATCCATCCATTATCTATACACCGCTTAATCCTCTGTAGGGTCATGGAGGGGCTGGAGCCTATCCCAGCTAACTTAGGGCAAAGGCAGGAGACACCCTGGACAGGTTGCCAATCTAGACAAACACATCATTGGTTTAGTTTTTGTTGATGTTTTCTATTGCAGAGCAGTTGTACTACAATCGACCTCTGATAAAATGTACAGTTCCCGTTCTGCATTACAAAAATATTTTGTAAAGTTCTTCTAAAATGAGATTCAGTAGTCTGAGTTGAACAAATCTTGAAAATGTATTCAAAACTTATAGGCTCTTTTACGTAAAATCCCCCCAGAACCCAACAAACTCACAACATAAAAGTAGGTTAAAAGGGGATTGTTTTTAAAAGCAAATAGATTATAAAAAAGGAACTTACAACGACCACTTTTTTCTCGATGTAGCCTACATAAGGGCAAGTTCATGTATTAAGATGGATTTTAAAAATATATATTCTTATCATTTAACCTAAATTAGTATCCTAAATTTACAAAACAATCAACAAATGGACCCCACAGATGCAGACAGAGTTCACATTTTGAAAGCTACAGTGGATTGGTCATGTGCGTCAACATGTCAAATAAAATTGGTCTGTTTCATGTATCTAAGTCATGCATGAAATCTGAGTCATCTAGGCACAAAGAATGTGAGTCGTCACAGCCTATTTCTCCCCTCACCCCAAACGGTCGAGGCAGATGGCCGCCCACCCTGAGTCTGGTTCTGTCACAGGTTTCTTCCTGTTTAAAGAGAGTTTTTCCTCGCCACTGTCCAAGTGCTTGCTCATGGAGGAGTTGTTGGGTTTCTCTCAACATGGTTTCTCTCTATAATGCTGCACTCTAATAATAGTGTTTGGGGAGAAAAATAATGCAACAGTTTGCACCAATATTTTGAAGTTAAGGAAACCTCTAAATAAATTATGTTTAACCAACAACAACAATTAGCTTTTCCTCCTGAATCAGAGCCATTCTTAGTTACCAGTGATACAAATGTTTAACTTGACAACTAAACTGTTCCAACTAGTTTCCCCACATTATTTAAAATGAAATTTTATTCGTTTTATCCCCAATTCCCTGAAGGGTAGGGTGGCCAAAAAAGGCCACGATAGGTCGTATCAAAATTGAAAATACTCTCTAATTCATTGCTTTGGTGGAATGTATTTGTAAAGGACATGATACTCTTTATTTAATTTCCTTTGTGTCATACGTGTTCAGCTTACAGGCTCACGAACACACATCTTTAACTGTCTGTATTCAGCAGGTAAGGGAAAAGACTCAAAATCATGAACCAAAGTTGAAGAAAAATTAGGTTACCAAGCCAACTTCATTAAGTTACTAAAATTTGAATTTAGCTGTAAGTCAAAGAAGACATAATTGTAAATTTAAATTACATATATTATCATAATTTCTTACTGATGTTAAAATGTCAACCAAGCTGATGAAAATTATTTTTGCAACTTAAAAGATTTATGTAAATCAGCACATTTTATTTATTCCTTTTTTAATGGTGGAAAGACGTCCCTCAAATAGTTTTTGTTTAGAGTGTAGTTAATGTAAACTGCCCTAAATTGACACCTATGTTAAGATTTAGTGCTATATGAATATAATTGAATAGATTTATTTACGTGGATCACAGCTCTCAAACTCAGTAACCCAATTTGCACGTGTCTCTTATTATCTTTGAAAAAGTTTGATTTTAAAGTAACAGAAGGGTTTGAACTGAACTGAAGGGTGACAGAAATCAGTGTGACACCGGCCAGCAGGGGTCCTCAGTGCACTGTTTGCTGGAAGTGTATCAAGTTTAAAAAGAGTCTCACAGGCATAATAAAACTGCCCACAGACGCTCAGCATTCTGCTCACACTGATGCTAGATGGCTGGAAAAGTAAAATCCATTAAATACACGGCTAAGTCTTGGCTTTTATTTAAAGTGTATTTAGCGGTAACTGTTAAAACAGCCCCTTCGTCCCATTGGCCGATTCTGAGTGACGTCTTCAACGAGGATGCGTGCGCACCTTGGCAACGGAAGTGGAGTGTTATTTCTGCAGATAACTTCCTTGACCGAAGCTAACGCTAAATGCAACCGTTTTAACGCAAAATGTCGACTTGTTGCGTGTCTGGTTGTAAATACCGATACACCCCGGGCAGCAACATCAAGTTGTACAGAATACCGTCTGGCTCTCGGCCGTACCACGCCAACAAGAGGCGGTTATGGCTCGAAGCAATACAGCGAGCGAACGGCAGCACGGAGCCAATCAAAGACACCGCTCGTGTTTGTAGCGCTCATTTCATATCAGGTGGGCTCAGAGAACCGTTTTCATTACACGACATCTTGTCACAGCTAACTTGCATACTGGCAACTTTCCGACTCTACCTATAAAGTACCCTATAAATGATTGTGTGTTTTTTGTGTTTTACAGGAGAGGCGTCTATGGAGTATGGCATGCCGGACTTTGTGCCTTCTGTGTTTACATGCGCTGAACGGAGCGCGACCCCAAAGAAAAAAGTGAGATGGTAAGAAGGGTCAATTATTCTTGTTCAGGTAACTGGTGTTAGGATTAGGAGCTACTATACTTTCTGCACTGCACAACACAACGTAAATTGTCCTTGCATGTAGCATGTTAGCTAGCATGTGTGTCTTTCTTACTCACCCTTTCGGACATGCATCCTTAATTCTTACGACAACACAACACGTTGGCTTCATGTCTGAATGCACATCCTGGTCACGTTTCTGTAAAAATCAGGCCAGCAAGTTGGACCCAAGTAACATTTCCGTCTTAATGTCAATACAGCACAAGTCTGAACTTAAGCGTCACATTAACGGACAGTGATACAAAATAAACTGTACTTCAATTGTCAGAGGGTTTATTTCACATTTTCTCCCAAATATTAGTCCATAAACACCACAGAGAGCTTTAAAGACACAGTTTGTGTGCCAAAGTCACAACACCCTTCTCACCCATTCTTCCCCACAATTTCAAATCTATTCAGCTGCAAACTGAAATGTCAACAAAAATATAACCCTACAGACACTTACCGCTTAGATTATACTCACCAATAATGAATGTAATCAATTAATAATCCAATCATAATAATAATTATTGAATGTAATACCACCAAGACATTAACAGGAGCTGAAGTTGCCATTTTCTGAGTTTATGAAATCGCTGAAGCATCTGACAGCAGCAGGATCCATATGCATTTCTTAAAAGCAAGAGAGACTTGAAAATTCATAACTAGAAATTATACCCAGCATGGAGAGCAATCACGTGCATACATGGCTCTCACTGACATTGGTGGATGTCTCTACGTAAAACTGAGAGGTACATTGATTGAAAAGCGACCCATGACTGTCATGCTCATATAGTTTTGTATTATGCAAATATATATAGTGGCTGTCACACTTTAACAGAAACAGAAAGTTAACTATGCAAACAATATTCAACTCCTCAAATGAAAGAAGTTTCTTTCTTACTTGTACAATAGCAAACTGAATGTCTGTGTTTTGTAAGACATATCTACCAATCTGAAAGCTTCACCTTGGGAAATGATATTAGGCTTTATTGACAGTTTGATTTTTATTTATCATATAATGTTTATTGTCTTGATGTGAATAAAGTAATGGATCATAAAGTAGAAAGAGATGGATTACATCCCTGATACACTAATTTTTGTAGCCAAAATGCTAACAAACAAAACATTGTTGCTGTTTACATATGCAGTTGTCTTTACCGCTATATTTGTTCCATTGTAAATATTTGGTCCATAATGTTGAGCTGTTAATTGACACATAGACATCAAAGTAACTTTACTGCATTATTGGAGTATTGCAGCACTAATGTCCTCAGCTCTGAAAGTTTATGATGCTCTCATTTTCTCCTCTGCTTTGCTAAGTAGATTTGAGAGATGTTTATCAGGTTTTCATATCAATTAGTGTTCATGACTTTTTTGAAAGGTTTTACTGTTGTTTTTAAAGGAGCCTCCGTACAGCCAAAGTGAGAGGAAAAGTAGAGGAAAAAACAACTCCGCCTGAAGTTGATTCTCCTGTGGACCTCCAGTCCTCTGTTTTGATGGAAACTGAAACAGAACTTTTAATGGAAACACAGACTCCGTCAACCCCATCAGTGCCAAAGGTAGCAGCCATATTTTGCTATTTCTGCATTGATTTTCATGTGGTCAGATTACATTAAATCACTATGGTTTCATTTTGTATGTTTCGAAGGCATACACATTTAGTCATTTCTTAAGACTGCTAGTTGTTTGTTCATGAGAGGTAATTTTCTGTACCATCAAATAGAGATCATTCCTAATCTTTGAATTATATTTTATGGAATTAATAATCTCTTCTATGTGTCTTTCCTAGGAAGAAGAAACATCGACTAAACAGGCTGAGAATGAAACCAGAGCAGTCCAGTTGCAAACATCCAACACAAACATGCCATCACTGTCCTTTAAAGCACCAGCAGGCATTGCAAAACTACTATTAAGGAGTCCCATTGTGCTTCTGAAGCCCATAGTTTCACCAGCAGGTGGCTACCAGTGTGATCAGTGCAATCTCACCTTTCCCATTGCCTCACAACTTATAAAACACAAACAGCTGCATGAAGAACAGAAGTCCTTAATCTGTGCAAAGTGCTTCCCAAGTCAGACGGATCTCACTGAGCACCATGCTGTCCACGAGGAAGAACCCTCCTTTCCTTGTAACATTTGTGATCGATCTTTTCCCACAAGTCGGAGTCTCAAGCGTCACAAACTGCTCCATGTTAGAGATGGCAGGAAATGCCTCACTTGTGGTGCACTGTTTTGTCGCCGTCACCGCCACCTTTCATTCCTGCCAAAGATTGAGTGCAAGACAGGGTCTGAGGAAGAATCTTCCATCATTGAACAGCAACACGTAGGCAGTAATTTGATCCCAGAAAATGATCTGCCAAACCAGTCGATTGAAGAGTCTGTGCCTGGCGAGTCTTCCCCAGTGCCTGACGAGTCTTCACCAGGGCCCAGCAAATCTTCCCCAGTGCCTG